ATTTATTAGCAATAGAGTAGTCTTTATTGTAATTATTTATACATGTAAAATATCTATAAAAGCACTACTTTCTGATCTTTCAAAAAGTTAAATGTCTTCATATATTTCAATAGTAAATAAACTGAATGCAATATTTAGTATCTTAATATACTATTTATTGTTTTCTCTGCTTTAAATTTCCAAATCACTCTGTATTTTGTTAAGTTTTGTGTAGACTTTTGTATAGAACCTGTCAAGTTATAGTTATCATACTATAGTTGAGCAACTTCTGTTATCATTATGGTTAAAGAAAAAACTACAGGTTAACACTATAAGACAGTCATCTTACAATTGCATACTTTGTTATTAGCAAGAGCATTAAATTGCAATATTGCAACTTCAATCATATTAATAATTATGTTAGTTAAAGAATTATCTAGTTTTGAAAATTTTTTTGATTCAAGTAATAATACTATGCCAGCTAGAAATGTTTTTTTAAGAATGTCAAATTGATATACAAGATGATACATATTTCTGAAAAGCACTGCAAATATTTTACAAAAAAGTATACAATAATTATTAGGCCTACAATTAATTTTGACAAATTGAATTTTTACTAAATCTTAAATCTCATAAATATGTTATAAGTGTTGTATTTTGTATACATTTGGTGTTTTATTTTAAAATAATAGTCTTTAAAATATTTATTTGCAACTTGATAATAAATGTTATGCTAAGAAGTTAAATTATTTAAAGCTTCTTAAATAGTATAAATATAATGTTTTTTGAAAAAAATATAATTATTTAAATCAATAAAATTTTGATTTTTTATGAATAGAAATTTAAATTGTAATTAATAAAAATTTACAATATCTAAAAAAAAAATAAATCTTATAACAACTTTGTTTTTTGTAATTTTTTTCTGATTACTTATAAAGTTATCTTTTACAAAAACTATTTGCTCTCTAATATTATTAGTAGTAAATTGTATTTGCTGACTATTAAAGGTAGTTTGTTGTTGTATTATATAATCACTATTTATGTTTACATATATTTGAAAGTTGCCAATTTGGGAATCCTGTTAATTATAATTAAGATTAGTTAAAAAAAATTTAAATAGATTGTTAACTTAATACTTTCTAATTCATGTTCTTCTATAACAAATTTATCTTCTTGCAATGTATTAGCAAACTGTACTAAAGATTGAAATTCAATAAAGAAATTATTAGCAAAAATTCATTTATTTATAAGATGTTATTTTCTTTTATAATGCTGTTCTCTTGTATAATATTGGAAAATAGCATTAATAATTGAAAACTTAATGAAAAGCTATTATTAAAGATCTTTTGTGCAATAAAGCACTGTCTCTTTTTATATTATTAATTTAAATAACTTCATTTTCATATCTATTATATAAGTTATTGTCTTTATTTTCAAAATCTTTCTTATCCTTGATAATACCTTTAGACAAATCTTTTTTCATATTAATTTTATATTGCTTTTATTCTTTAATTATATTAAAATTGCATAAGAAATGTTGTTCAAAAACTAATTTATATGGTATATAATTTGTAGGTCTAAAGTGATGAATATTTATAGAATCTAAAAAAAAAAAAAAAATACTATATAAAAAAATTAATAAATATAATAACAAATCAAATTATCAATTAGCACAGTTTACATATAACTATAAGAAGACTAATACTCTAGTCTCTTTGATCATTATTTTCTATCTATACAGAATGAACATTTTTTGAAGTTTTGTTAAAGTTTTCAATCATATTTTGTGATTAAAAGTAACAAAAATACTATTAATTATATGAATTTCTTTTTATAAACTAAGAAGCTTATAAATAATTTATACAGTATATTCCTGTTTATTATTGTTTTGCAAATATATAAAGGCCCAAAGATAGTAAAAACAGAAAATAAAAATACAGCAACTTTAGCTGCCTTCTTAGTATATAGTAAATATGTTTATAAAAACCTTATGAAATGATTATAAAAATGTGCAATATACTAGTATTTCTTATCTGGATACTTAACAAATAAAACAAAATCTATTTGCATGTATTGCAAGAATTTTTTTTTGAAATAATAGTCTCTCTAATAATAGGTATAAAAGAATTTTTTCTTATACAACATTGTATATATTGAGTGATATATAACTCTACAAAAAACCAAAAAATATAAGCATATTGCTTGCTTATCTAAAATATAAACTAAATTAAAAACTAAAAAGTATAGAACACAATACAAATTTAATTAAACCTTATTTACCTTATCAAAAGTTTTTTTTAAACCAGAATGTTGATAGATATTGCTGTGCATTCTTTTAAAAACAGTTTAAAAATTTTAAAATAAGCAAATAGCTAATCTGGTTTATTATTTAAATTAGCATTTTTTATTTTTATAAGTTGAAGAATAGGGTTTTAAAATGTTCTAAGATCATATAAATAAAAACTATTTTTTGTTCAGAAACAGTCCTTTGCTATTCTAATAGATGTATTTGTAAGATTTTTTAGAATATTATTTATCAAATTATAGTCTTTTTGTATAATAATAGCTTTTCTTTGTTGCAGCTTAATAAAAATTCTGATATTAGTTGATCAAAAGTAGCACAAAAAAAAAATCTGCATCTCTATTTATAATATTTAACATTGAATAATCTGGTTAAAAAATAAGTTTATTTACTTTTTATTTGTTTTTTTGTTTTTTTTTTTTAAAAAAAAAATTACCAAGTATATTTTATTCTAATTTTTAATTGATTGCATTATATTACAAAATTACTTATTATTTACTTTGCTCTTTATAACTATATATTAAAGTTTTTCAAAACCAAATCAAATAAATATTGGGTTGATTTGAATTTGGTCAAATCAAATATATCTTTGATTTAATTTGATTTGCTCAAATATTTAAATCAAATATTTAAATTTAATTTAATTTTTAAAAAAATTTAAAATTTTAATTAATAAAGAAAAAACTTGATTTATAAATATTTTTATTATATTAATCAATCTTAAGTTCTAAGTAAAAGTATTTGTTTAAACAAAATACTTTTAGTTTTATATAACTAAAAAGTCAATTGTCTTAATAAAATTTCAAGTAAATGGCTTATAATTTTGAATATTTAATTATAAATTTTTAAATCAAATCAAATATTTGTTAAATTAAATTAAATTTGTTCTATTTGAATTTAATTTGATTTGAAAATTTCAGATTTGAATTTGATTTGAAAATTTCAGATTTGAATTTGATTTGAACTCAAATATTTGATCAAATCAAATCAAATCAAATTGTAAAACCCTACTATACATACTTTTTGTAACTATGAATGCTTAATTTAAATCATAATCAATTATTTATCTGCAATTGATCATATATATACAAAGTTTAACTAACACTTTTTAATCTGAGTAACCTGTATAAGAATTCTAAATTGGGTTATTCTGATTCTGAATTAGAATAGCCAGATTTCAAATTAGAAGAATTCTAATCTAAGTACAACATATATATAAGGAGAAGTCAATAGAAAAGAGACAAATCATTTTTAGTAAAATTTTTTTAATTTTTAAATTTAAATAACTTAACAACTATTTAATCAAATTTGCTAAAAATTTTTTATTTTAATCTTAAAATCATATAAAATTAAAATAAAAAAAAGTTTATTAAATTTAATAAAATAGTTGTTAAGATATTTAAACTTAAAGTCAAGAAAAATTTTACTTAGAAAAAATTTGTTTTTTCTTTATTAACTCATCCTTATATATATATTTTTTTATTTATATAATATCAAGTAAGAAAAATAATAATACATAAATATATTAATTGAATACAAATGTATAACTAAAATATTATTTTTAAACTACATTATTGTTATTATATTAATAATATCTAGTGTAATATATCTTTTAGTTTTTGTTATTAGTTAAGTTAATTATTATAATTATTAACTACAGAGAAATAAAAAAAGTTTTTAAAATTATTTAATTAATAAAAGCAGATATATATAGTAGAATTTTGAAAATGAGTTTTAAGAATAAAGAGATTTATAGAGGTGTGGTGACTTAGTAAAGTGGATAAGTTGTTAACCTTTCAAGTAGTAGATAGAGAGTTCAAAACCCATCGATGATAAAAATTTGAAAAAACTACCTATGTATATCAGTACTACAGGCATCTGTGCAATGTTGAAGTTAAACAAAAGAATGCAAACTAGCATTAGGCAGTGCAACCTCAAGATAAATTTTTGTGTCTGGTACTATGGCAATAGCAATCTGTTGATCAGTTGGGATCAGTATCTATAACACAGTCATACCAGATAACTGGCAGGTTATAGGGCATCTGCGCAATATTGGAGTTATACAAAGGAATGCAAACCAGCATCGAGCAGTGCAAACTCAAGATAAGTTCTTGTAATTGTGTAAATCTGTGAACTGAAAAAACCAGAGCCCACTTGAAAAAACCTGAGTAAAAAGGTAGCATAAATCTTTGACAGTACTACTGTAAAGGCTAAACCTAGAAAACAGATGCCAATATTGAAGGAATCAGGCAGGCAAGAAACTCAGATGAGGGGTACCACCAACCAGGCCATCAGAAGTCTTAAACCAGAGGAAAAGGACCTTAGGAGGCAGATCCTGAGGTACCAGAGACAGGTTATAGTCCTATCAGGCTATCTGGATTGGAAGTCTGAAGTTGAAAACAGGAATATACTAAAGTACTAGAGATATGCTGTGAAGTCAGTATTGGGTCTGGATGAACTCTGCAAGGGCAAGCCCTATTAACAAGATACTAAATATGGGTAGTTAGTTAGCAGAGGGGCCCTTCTGGAGTCCTACAAGTTAGGTAATGTACTCTGAAATATGTAACAGCTTGATGGATGTACAGACAGAGAGGTTATGGTTAGGTTAGACAGCACTTAGATGTACAGGAACTTGTGTGCTATTTGTTAATGTAAGTATAGAGATTAGAGTGTTTAAATAGGTAATCTCCTAGTAGATTGCAAATATGGCAACTAGTATAGAACCTGCTATGCAGGTGAACTACTTAAATTAGACAACCAAAAGTTGTATATGTGGCTAGTTGTATACTCACCTTAGCATGATTGAAGTTATTATTATTGGTTGTTTAATTGATCTGATCAGATACTGATCAGATGATCATATTAAATTTTGATTGGTTAATTAGTAGACTTTTGATAAAAAAAATCGAAGTTTGCACATCAATTTAATGAACTAAAACTTTTTTAAAATAAAAAAATATGAACTTGGTAGAGTATTTTTTTACTTTATTTTCATATAAAAGTTGTAGATCGCAATAGATCATACATTTAAAAAAGGTTTATTATAGGTAAAATTACTAGCAAGACATTGCCTCAAGTGCATTTACAAAATTATTATGGACTTCTGAAATGCTTTCTAGCTCTGTTTGATCATCAGAATCATCTGCTGTTGGGGTGGACTCTTCTTTGTCTTGTAGTTTCTCATTAGTAAGAACATTCAAACCTTTTTCTAAACATTTAATGAACATCTTTACATTATAATTAATACCTTTCTTATAATATTCTTTACAATGGTTGCAACTGTAATATAATTTATCATAACATTTATAATGGTATCCATGACCACAGGTTAAAACCTCTCCTTCATTCAGTATGTTATAGCAATAGTTACAAGTATTTGTAGAAGGTGAAAAACTTGTACTGAATCCTGTAGGTAAGCATTTTACATCTACAACTTGATCTAAAGAAGCCAAATGATATAGCTAATATTTTTGCTTTTTGTAAAGTTTACTCTTTCTTTGACTTTTAAATATTTTAAAAAAGTAATCTAAAAGAAATATTGCTGTTTTTTTTTTTAGGGTCTTTAGATTCGATATTGTATATAGATATCATTTCGTTTTAGCAAAAGTATTTTTTAATTCATTTTCATTTCATAAATCTTTTTTATTTATTAAAAAAAAAAAAAAAATTTTAATTTTTAAATTAATATTTTAAACTATTACTGTTACAATTTTACCAATTGCATAAGCCTCATATATAATATTTTCTGCTGTAACACTATGTGAAGTATTTGCCCATATCTTACTATACATATTCTCAACGAAATAGTCATTAAAATTTACTAGAAATAATTTAATTGCTTCTGCTAAAGGATGCCCATTATCTTGCCAATAAAACACATCTGATAAGAATGCCAATGGAGCTTTATTATAGTTATGTCTTCACCATCTCAAAGCAAAAGTTCAAACCTGGAAAATTAATTCTAAATATTCTTCAAATGAACCCGAATGAAAAAGGATAGCATAAATGTCAAGTGCTGTAGGAATTATATTGTCTAATAAATCTATAATTATTTGGTATTTAATATCTTTACACATAGAACTAAATTTTTTTGTAATTTCATTTCTAATTAAACACCATCCACCATAAGCTAATTCAAGAAGCAGATTAATTCACCACGGTTTTGGCTTTTTTGCCAATTTTTTTTTTTTTACCGAACACAGAATGAAACATTTTTTCAAAAAAAAAGTAATATACAATTAAAATATGCTCTTGTATGTTCAATGATACATGAAGAGGACCCAATATAGGAACAAACGAAATAATTTCTGATGAAATTAAATTATTTTCTTTAAGAATAAAATTTGTGATTGCTTTTTGTACAAATAACTGGCCTGGCCAATCCATTACAATAGGTACGATCCTGTTAGTCAAGTGCTTAGTATTATGATTAATATTAAAAACTAACTGAAGTGCCTCAATATAGTTCTCCAAGGAATGTAAGTTCTTTTCCTACAGCCCAACTAAACGTACTGTTTTTATTAAGCACTCCTCTTTCCATACATCAATTGCATTATTGTAAAAGTGAACCGTAAGTAAATCGATTATATCAAAATTATTAAAATTTAATTGTCCATTTGATATCCATTGACTTTTACATATATTATAAGAAACATCAAAGATTCCATGATAATTATGTATCAAATGGAAACAAATATTTGAAGCATCAATATTCAAAGGATTGTGAACTGAAATATTAATAATAATAATTGGAATGGGTGCACAATTTGGCACATGCTTACAAACGCATGTAGCCATATGCTTAATATTTGATAAAGTTGTTGAATTCGGTCTTCTATTTTTATGTATATCATGATAATCATCCAAATTATAAACAAAAAAGTCATTAAACTTTTTATAAAAAAGAAAAAAAAAATTAATATATGCTTAAATGCAATTTATTAAATTAAAATAAATTATTAACTTTACAACATACATTATCAAGGAAAAATTTTTGAATTTTTGTAGAATGCTCATGAGTAATTTTTTTTTTATAATCATAAACAGTCCTGTAATATGCCGAAACTCTAATACTATGCATTACATTTATAGCTAAAGCTAATATGCCAGAGGCAGAAAAAAATAAACCCATTTCTAATTTAAATGTATTTGCAAACTTATTTTTCATGCCAGCCATAATGTGACATAAGCCCACAACTGATTTTTTAGCTTCATTTTTATTATAATCTGATAGGTTGTCTGAAAGTAGGATTTCAGTTAATTGATCAAAAAATCCACATAAGCAAGAATCTGCTTTTTCAATTGTTTGCTAAAAATGAAGTAGATCTAATTCTAAATTTACATTATTCTTTTGTTGCTTGTATAAAATACTTGAAAGTATTTTAATTTGATCAGAAAATGTTATATTTGTTGGATTGATATTTTCTTTATTTTGCACTAAACTTCTGATTTGATTTTCATATTCTATAGGAAAGACCATCTTTATGATTTCCTGGGTTGAATTCAATTCATTATATCCATTTAAACCAGTAGATTCCAAATCTTTTTTTTTTTTTTTTTCTATTATTTTTTGATTTCGATCACTTTCAACAATATCCAGGTAATGGGCAAAACAGAGTTCTTGACCAATAGTTAAATATTGAAAATTTTGTAAAGTTTCTTTTTCCTTAGTCTTATTATATGCAAGAGGATAAGTTTGCGAAACTTTTCTAAATGTCTATCACAATTGTGTATTGAGCAGGGACCAAAATTTTTTTGAAGCATGTGTTTTTTTTTTTTTTATCTTAACCACAGCAAAGCTTGACATAAAATCTTGATACCAGAAACCAATCATGGCAAAATAGACTGCAGTGTAACGGAACTTGAACCCACAAAACCAACTGTGGCAAAACTTGAACAAGGTGAAGGTTGATCACAACAAAAATTGGCTATGATGGAACTTAACAAGATGAAGCTTGATCATGACGAAATTGATTGCAGCAACTTGACCAAACAAAATTGGGTCCCAGAAAAAATTGATACAACTCAAAACATAAATTTTATGAATTTTAAAACAATTGTGCAATTGATTTTTTTTATAACTTTATATAGAATTTATCTGGGCCAATCACAATTTAAAATTTCAGGATCAGCAGATCACTTTCATGCAGCCAATAATAATAAACTTCAACCATGCTACTTACCTTGTACAAGTTATATAATCATAATTAAAATACAATAAAGGCAATAGCTGCTGATAACTATGGCATTAGTAAAAGCAAAAAAAAAAAAATTAAAATAAAAAGATTTATATTAGTATTAAAAATAAAAGTAGTATTATTAGAGTTAAAAGATTATAAAATAGATAATCTAATATTATTTTTTTTTAATAATGATTATAATTTCTTCTAATAATTCTCATTCATGTTGTTTAATATTTTAGGTTTGCCAAATATATATTAGAATTAAACCAGATAAGTAAAAAGTTAAATAAGAAAATAAGAAAATTGTTAATTAGTTTTTTTAAAATAAGTTAAAATTGTTTATATTGGTCAAGAGTTATTATATTTTAAATAAATAAGAATATTGTATTATATATATAAATTAGAGTTAAGATAAGAGTTTTATAAATTAAGAATTTGTATTATTGTATTTTATGAAGTTTTTAAGAGATTTAAAAAGTTTAGAACATTAGTAATTTTATTAATAAGATGTTTTATAAATTGTAAAAGTAAAGTGGATATTAAAGTAAATGTTTAATATTTTTATATAAATTATAATATGAGCAATTTGGAGTTAAATAAAAAAGAAAATAATAAATATTTAAATCTAATATTGTTAATAAGTTATTTTTTTTTTCTTTTTAACAAACTTGTTAAGATCTTTTTTTGTATTTTTTATACTTTTTCTGAACTAATGTTCTTAATATTTAAGGTCACTAGACCTTAACTTCTTCCAGGTCATATTTTTAAATTTTTTAGAAGCAATTGTCATATTGACTTTTGCTAAAATTAGAAGGCTTTACCAGGCTCTGTATAGAACCACATGTTATTATGAGTTTATATAGTATCTTTTATTGTCAGACTTTTCAATTTTATATTACATCTCAAGACTTTAATTATTTTAAATCAGGCTTTAACTTGTGTCTGTCATTATATAGCTTCTTAACTGCAGATTACTTGCTATTTCTGAAAATAAGTTCATCTTTAGATATCTTGAATCTTTAGTTCTGCAGTATTGTAGTTCTTTATTTAAAAATATATCTTTACAGTTGTTATTACTAGAATTCAAACTAGCAGTTTTGTGATTTGTAACCTCAGAATTTAACTGCTATGCTATTAACTCTAAAGATCATTAATAAGTTATTAAAAAGTATTTTATTTCTAATAAAATATAATATAAAATTAAAATTTTGAAAGTTAATAATTTCAGTTAATAATAATATATTTATAATAGAAAAATTTTGTAATAAGTTAAGTTAAAAAAATTTGTTAAATGTTTGTACTAAAATTAGGTTTTTACAAATTTATATAGTTTGTATATAATTAATATTTTTTTTTAAATAAAAAAGATAAAAGATAAAAATAGTTAAAATAAGATTTAAATTTGGTTTTGTTAGCATTATGTTTTTTTTTTTAATCTTAAGCAGTTATGCTAGTACTTTATTAGGATTCTTGAAACTATATACATTTATACAATTACATAGAATTTCCCAATACTCAAGTCTAGCATCACTTAGCTACCCTTATGGTACCTAAGTGCAATCTGCCACACTATCTCAGTTAGAGATAGACTGCTCATCTAACTACTTAAAGCCATACCAGAAGGGCCTCTTTCCTTCTGTAACAAGTATATTAATTGTCTTCAAAGCTTCTTTCTTCATCTGGTTTGTTTTCTCTATTTTCTTTTCTTTTTTTTTCTTTTCTTGTTTGTAAGTCTTTTCTTTTTCCTTTATTTATTTTTTCTTTTGTATGAACACTTTTTTTCATCTTGTTTGTTATATTAGTTTTTTTTTCTCAGTCTTGTGTTTTTTCATATCAGACTTTCTATACTTGATTATAAAAGATGTTCTACACTGTTCTTGTTACTATGTTCATATACTTTTGTATTGACTGCTTATTTAAGAGTCATTTGAGTTTCTTTTCTACTTTAACCTTCATGAGTCCTTTTATTAGCACTTCTTTTGTTTTCAATTTCTTTAGCTTTTGATTTTTTTAAATAGCATTTCATATAGGACTTGTGGTAGGATTCTGTTCTTTTCTTCTTCTTTGAGCCCATTTCATGCTGCTGCTATTGCAACTTTTTGAATCTGCTTCCAAAAACTTTTTTGTTCACTACAGCTTGTCAGATGTACCTGTGTTTCTTTCTCTCCAACTTGGCATACCTGGCACTCTGTTGTTGTATATACTTCTGGCCTTCTTCTGTTTAACTCTTCAAGTATTAGTAGTTTGTCTATTATACACTTAACTGTTGTAGCTCTTCTTATACTAAGTTTTCTTGATGTGCAGTAGACTCCTCTTGTTCTGTTCATTTCTTTCCAAAAACTTGTCCAATTATGTACTGTGTTTTTCATTTCTGATTCTAGTATTTTTATTGGATTTGTTTCTCTTCAAATGGCTCCAATTCTGGCATTCACTATTATTTTATACAAAAGTCTTGCTAGTATATCGATTTTTTTTTTTCTACTCCAAATAGTACTCTATTCTATCACATATAACCTCTTCTGCATGTATTAGGTTTTCACAAGTTGCTTTTTTTTTGCAAGAGAATCTGCTCTATCATTCCACTTATCTTTGATAAGACCTACAATGTTTGTTATCTACATTGTATTTTTTTTCTTTATTGTACTTCCATCTTCTATGTTTTGGGTTGCTTTGTTAATATTTCTTAATGCTGCAATGCTGTCAATATATATTTCTATGTTTTTTCTTTCTGATATTGTTAGAATTGCTATCCATATTGCTGCTAGTTTTGCTATTGTTACTAATAGTCAGCCCTCGAGTTCAAATGCTATTTTCTCCTCTGGCCAGTCTTCTTTATCATCTATTTGTACCTAGCTAATACTCATCCTTTCTATATCATTTTCTTTTCTCTTCTTGTATAATGCTCTATCAGTATAGATAATATATTTTTCTTTATTCTTTCTCTTGTTCCACATTAGGATTTCTGTTAGCTGATCTGTAATTATACTGTTTAATATCTGTTTTTTGATTAGTTTTATTTTTAATTCTTTTGCTAGTTTTAACTCTAGTAACTCTATTTTGTCTTTTTTCTATTTTTCTGTTTTCTGATAACTGCTCTAATGTTGCATTTATTTTGTTGTTTATTTTTTTCATTAGTAATTCTGGAACCACTTTTATGTTCTGATCTTGTCTTATCCATCTTTTATACTTGTTTGTTATCTGTTCTGATTTGTCTTTACAGCCTTTATATAAACTTATTTCTGTATATGTTTTTCTTTTTCTTTATATATTAGCCAATGCTCTGCTAATATTTTTTTTTCTTTTTCTTAATTACTTTGCTGAGTTGTTGGTTGTATTTTGGCCTGTGCATGATCTATTCTTTCTTTTTTCGGTCTTCTGACATCTTTGTCTACTTGATCTTTAATGCCTGTATGTTATAACTGTTTATTTTGTATTGGTCTTGTATTTCTCTGCTTTTTTGCATTTTCAGTATTTTTTTTTTTATTTTACTAAACTACTTGGCTTTCTTTTCTTTACATGATAGACTTTAAAAACTCTTAAGCTGTTTCTATGTAATTAAACTGTCATCTTTTGTATCTATTAACTGATTTACATATAATAATCTCTATTTATTTATTATGCTACTACTTGCTATCCATGTTTTCACTTTTAGCATGTCTTTTATTTGTCTGCTATGTCCATATACTTTCTATAGCCATTTTGCTGCTTTGATGTTTATTCCTATTTTTTTTGCTTTGGTCAATGTTCAGCATGCTAAATTGTTCTTCCAAAACTTTTTAACTTCTGGTTTATTTTCATCATGCCAAATTTCTTTTGTTAGACCTGCTTTTGGCATTCTTGAGCTATTCTAAGTCTTGTTAGTTCATCCAAACTATCCTGCCTGTTAAGTCTTGAGAAAATGCTACTGATTTGCTTGGACATTATTTCTTGGCTTAGTAATTTGTAATTGTTTAGATCTTTGTGTTCAATTGTACAATTGCTTAATGTTTTCATTATGTTGCATTTATGTTTGGCCAAGCATATTAATGGTTAGTGTATTTTATCAATCATCCTTTCTGACATCTTTGTTAATTGCAAAAGATATCCTAGTTTGGGGATTATTACTGTATTGTTTATATATATGATCTGGCTCATTATTATTTTTTTGTATTTTAGATCTTTAACTGTTTGATTAATAATTCCTTTTGCTTTCTTACATAATAGCACTTCTCTCAATTTGCTATTTAGCCAGATTTTTAGTGACCTTACAATTTTGTTTTTGGGTTCTTCTATTAACTTGCTATAACCAAAGGTAATTTCTTTTTTATCTTTTTTAACTCTTGTGTTCATTATTATGAGCTTTGATTTGGATCTGTTTAT